TTTCTACTTGAAACTTTGCACAGAGATAGGACTTAATGGGAATAGTTTATTGTGAAAGTTTCAGATCTTTTCGTTGTCTTATCCGGAAATACGAACATCGAGTCTTCTCATGTGTATGAGCGATGTAAAAGGCACACTTTTAGCATAGCCGTATCTTACGGTAGGAACAACGAAAAGATCTGAAACTTTCACAATAAACTATTCCCATTAGGTCCTATCTCTGTGTAAAGTTTCAAGTCGAAATTCGAAAATCAGTTTTCCTGGTGTTCCTGAGGGGTACCACAGCCTTCTATTAAAAAATACCGTAAAAATGCAATATCTCATCAGCAATAAGATATTAGCCCGAACTCTTTTCAGGGTATTCATAGCTCATTAGGGACTACATGATGCACATAGTCCCGACTCAAAAGCGAGGGAACAGTTGGTGGGCTTCCCTCGTGAGTCTCATGAGTCTCGATTTGATACTTTGAAAACTTATCATTTTCAGACTTTGGTAAGACCTCCTTCTCACCTTATGAAATCGATATTTTTGCAAAAGGTTCGGATTTTCAGTTTATCAGATAGTCTGAGAGATCAAAATGCTTAGTTTCAGAATATATGTCCGTCTTTCTAGTAAGTGAATGTCGCCATCTTGTTATTTACCATATTCTGCGTACTGCATTATCCTGCAGATGACGCTTTGTAAATGATGAAATTATGTAGTCTTAGCTACAATGAATCAGTTTAAGTCGTATTTGAGAGGTTGTACTCTATGTGATATCGAGTTGAAAACTATAAAAACTCAAAAGCAGTGATGTTTTCGCCACTAAAGCTTCTAAAATCGACGTACTTAACCCACATTTTCAAACTTTTTCGGCATCAATTTTTGCTTCATTGAAAATCGAATATGTGTAGTGCGGGCGTGATTGTAGAGAAAGTCATCACCCACATCTACCTTAATCACGGTACAAAGCACTTAGTAAGTATGATAGTTAACGAAAAGTCTCTTTTATAAATAATATTGTCACTATGAGTATGACCGTCGATTCAGCAAAAGAACGCTACAGAACAGACTCAAGATTTACTCTTTGTTGCATTTCAGAAAAATTCATATTATCATCGAATATTAAATCATAGCTGATATTCAGTACTCTTTGGTAGTCAACCAAAAGTTGGTCTAGTATAAATATCATTACGTTCACCAAAATATGATATTATGACGACAGAAGAACAATCAAATGATGAGTTAAATTTAAAAAAAAAGTTATTTCAACATTACTCAATACCGATTAATGTAAACATGAAGCAGAACAAGAAGATGTAGTGGATTGTGATAAACGAAACGATCGTTAAGAAAATGTCAATAAACAAAATAATAATGTGCAACATGGTCATCTTTCACATAGAATTATTGAATAGCCATCAAGTTCATTTAGTAACCAAATTAATTTAGCAAACGTAATTCTGAAAGATTCCAGCTATGGTTGTTTGTGAAGAGAAGCCTCACATTCATCAACGAGCAAAACCACCCAATATACAACCATATCCACACTCACACCCACACGTAAATAGACACCCAATGCAGGAGTATATGCATATGAACACATCTCTCAGTTCAAAATGGACATACTAGGACAGGTTTTTTTTTATTTTAGGAAAAATAATGAAGACAGAAAAATCACTGATTGAGAAATTCAGCAACTTTTTTCAACATGCGTTCGAGACGTTGATCGTATGCTGCTGGTGCCACGTTCATTCGATTCATGGTGTAAGCAAAGGAGAAATTTTTTGAAGGTGCACAAAAACCGATACTCCCACCAAAACCTATAATTAAATATATCATCGAATATTAATGAAATGTTGACATCTCTTGTATCTCGTTACCTCCGTGACCAAAGGTACCCGGTCCGAATTCCGGAAAAACGTCATGATATAACAAAAAGCCCATGCCAAATGAATTAGCTATTTGCGCGACTAGATCAAGTTCACCTTCAGGTGTATTCGATCTAGTAGCCAATTTAAGAGTATCTTCGTTCAATATTCGTTTGTATTTTCCGCCATCCAAATCCCCAATTAATGCTGCATACAATCTAGCGACAGACCAAGCAGTAGCAATCCCGTTTCCTGCTGGTATTTCTGCTCTATGTGCAAGAGGATCATTGAACGAATCAACTATAGCTATGACAGATTCGTTGGCGTTTTGCTTTGAATTTTCACTGAGTTCGAGTGGCGATACCCGATATTCCAGATTTACTGGCAGGCCAATGAAAAATTCGATACTAATAGGATTCGAAATCTCCTCTGCAATGAATTGACCCAAAGATCGGTTTTTCGGATCCGCGCGTCGAATGAGTTCTCCTGCAAGCCATCCATAGGTCCATGCATGATAGCCATGTGCTGATCCAGGTGGCCACGATGGTGCCATTTGTTCTAATGTATGAATCATCGCTGTCCAATTCAAAAATTGTTCCAATGGTTCTGAAGTATCGGGCAGCCCGGCTCGGTGAGACATAATGTCGGCTACAGTCGTATTTTCCTTTCCATTTTGTCCATATTCAGGCCAGTAGCGAGTTACTAAAGCTGAATAGTCGAGAATACCACGTTGAACTGCAAGTGCAACAGCCGCAGCGACAAGACCTTTCGAGGTGGAGAAGACCAGTTGTAAAGTATCAGTATCGTAAGGTTTTGTTCGCGATTGATCAAACCATCCGCCTCCTAATTGAAAAGCCAATGATCCTTGATAATAAGCCGCCACAGAAGCACCGAGATCTCGATCTTGCACGAAATTATCTCGAAATAAATCTTGAACAAACTCCCAACCGGGTTTGATAGTACCACGAACGTTGTGCTCGATTGGCTGAGAACGAACAACTATTAAGAGGAGAAAAAGAGACCAAAGAAAAGTAATCCAACGCATCATTCAATTTGATTGAATGAATGACATTTTGATGTCGATGATAAAGATTAAGTCGAATAAATATCTAATAGTTGAGGATCACGAAAAAAAGACAATGATGAATACAGAAGTATTTTGTGGATTTTGCTGCATTATTTAACCACACATGCATTACATCGTTAGTCTCCAAGGACAAAAAACAGCGTCTACTAGTAAATATCATTATTGAATAATACGAAGACTAATGTCTGCGCCAGAATTAAAGAGAAGTGTGTGCAAGCGCAATATCTTGATAACGGCAACATTTAGCGGCCTGCCATTGTGATCAATTGAAAGAGGAGAAGTTGAGATATCTTTTTCCCCAATAATGTATAAGACGAAATCCTTTTGAAACCAGTCATCTTCGAAAAAATGCATGAAAATGACTTGCCATCTAGATAAAATTTCAATTTTGACCTTTGATTTAGATACAGGGAACTCAGATCTATAGTGAATTATACAATGCAAATGGTTCTCTTATCACATACTAACATTGAGCAAATGGAATCATGTATTTTGCATGCGAAAATAATAGGGAGTTTTGCTTATTTTTTACTAAGTTTTCGCACTTTTTATCATAATAGCTTGAGATGTCAATGAAAATGTGATGAAAAGTGAGAAAGCGCATTGTGTCTTGAACTATAGATCTGAAGTCTCTCTATCTACTTAGGGCATACCAAAAATACTGGCGCCATTACTTTATTTCCGTATACAAAGCCTGAAGAAATTTTCCTTTTTTTTATGTCGTGATAGAGAAAACGATGCTCTATATGTCTGTGCTATTTGACTACTCTTCAATTGATACCATAATAAAACAATTTCGATAAGAACTGTTTCTCTATCAACATGGAATGTTTATACTAATGCCTATTAGGCAAGTGAATCTTTGTTGAATAACTATTAATAGGAACAACATAGAGAGCAGCGATTTTCATGGTTTGAAAGAGGAAATAAAGATGAATCGAATATTATAGTATAGGCTATTTTGACTTGATCTTTCGAAGATTTCCAGTGGACATCTTTGAAAACAAACCTAACCCGTGACATGTTTCCAACGAATTTTCAATTGTCAGTTATATATTTAAACTGTCAAAGGTAGACATACAAAGCTCCACAACGTTCACATGTTTACAATAAATCATTCAAGAGTAATAGGTAATGTAATTCAAACTCTAAGCGATTTTTGTAGCAATTTTTGTGAAAAATTGCGTTTACTGTGTATTGCCAAAAATTGTATTTTTTTTTGACACTTCCAATATCGATGACACACAACTTCACACAAAACACTGGCGAAAACCTACAATATGCCATTCAATGTGTCTTTATCTCCTCTTTCGAATGATGAATATCGCAGTTCTCTATCTTGTGTCTATCAAATGTTATTCAAAAGAGATTCATTTGCCATAATAGGCATTAGGATGTGGGGAGGGAACATGGGTGTAGTTGTGACTGCGGGTGTTGGTGTGGGTGAGTTATGGGTGTGGACATGTGTGGCTGGTAGGTACTTATATTTTCTGTATTCATTCACACCCACACACACACACCCTTCAGAAACAAAAGAAAGAAATCCTAGAGAATAGAATTCTGGTGAGAGATGATGAATTTTGTGGTGTACATGTATAGATAAGGTCTATCGCGTTTCAGATTTTTCATATCGAATTCTCACTATTACGAAGCTTGTTGGTTTCATCTGAATTTGTGTGGCCGCTCAGGGCCAGCAATCAAAGGATAAGATCTTACAAGATCGTACCTCTGATCTTGCATCATCTTGTAAGATCACATGCAAATAGTACACAAAATCGTCGTCTCAGAAATCTGACGTCAATTCGTGCTGTAAGATTCTTGACAGATTTTATCGTTCTGCCAAATCTTATGCGACAATGAGATCCTACAAGAATCTTACATTAAGATTTGATGTAAGATTTTTGAGACGACGACTGTTTGTATGTTTTTCATAAGACTTCGTCTGGTCTTCAAGATCTTACTATCTGATTTTTTAATGTGGACGCTAATAATTTTTTACAGGTAATGCTACAACTTCATTTGCAACAATTTTGTATATATCCAGCTTAGATATGTGATAAATGGATGTGGCTCGATGAACAGGTTTCCCGCTGTTTGCTAGAAAAACGAGAAGATCTGAATAGAGATAACCCACAACATTTTAAGATGTTGACAGAATTTTTATTGGAATTTGATACAGACTGCAACCAGTATTTACTATTTTCATTCGTAAATGATCCAAGAAGTTGTTATATCTTTAGATCACTGTGCAGCCAAGCATTTCACGATTAGAACTAGATTTAATTATAACAGTATTCCATCAGGATCTTGAGCATTTACACGTTGTAATTCATATATGGAATGATTGATGAAATAGCAAATCTTGAGAAAACAATGGAGCGATGGAATGAACACAATTTTGTTATAGAGTTAAAGAGAGAGCTTTGGAGCATTCCGATCCCTTTTCCAGCGATTTGATACCGAGATCTTGTCAGAAGTTGAATTTTTTCTAATTGAGACAACATTTCATAGTTTCGCTTTGGATGGTTTAACAACAAGTATTTACGCATCTTATTCAGTTTCTTCACACGTCTCTGCAGGACTTCATGAGTAGAAAATACGAGAAATGAACATTGACAGTATTGATCCCAAGGTTGCGGCAGTAGACTGTGTTTTATTTCTTAGCTTGACCAGTGTCTTTATGTCGTGAATTTTCTCTGTACTATTATTGGCTTGTATTTCAATTTTATGAAAACATAAATCATTGCTAGAAGAATCCAAAAAACTTTAATATTCAATATATTGATCTCTTCTCATGAAATTCTATCATTATGTGTTGATTTCAATTTGAAGAAAGCATATTTTTCTGACTTATAACACGAATAAGAAAATTCAGAGAATGTTTTACTAAAGAATCGAGAAGTAACGACAGAAGCTTGTTCAAGGAAAAACTAGTTTAACGACAACACTAATATTGAAATCACTACTTTTACGAGTTTTCAAGTTTTGCGTCACAAAAAAATTGAAAAATAATTGGAATTCAATACCGTGGTTGTGACATAAAATAAAAATATCTCCTGTGAGAATCACTCTGAAAGTTGAATCCGATAGAAATCTGATCGAATGCTATAAGAACCTGTTTAAGATTGACGAAATCCTATAGGATTCTGGATTTCAGAACGGCATCCAGATCTAGATTGTTCTAATCTGATGTATTCCTACTCTCATGATTCAACAAAACTCACTGGAAATCCCTAGCCAATCTCTACGGTTGGTATCAGGCCCTTATTAGTACTTAACTAATTAAGTAGGTTTCGACAGTCAGATACGGTAATGTTTTCGTGTCCTGGATACTCGTTGAATTTGGTCAGTTGCTCGGGTGTGGGTGTGGGTGTGGGTGTGGGCTGTGTGATGTGTCAATGTGGGTAGGCGAAGATAGAAGTAAGATATACACGCACACACATCACATACACCCACACCCCACACCCCAATCGTCACCACAAATAGAGAAGCCTATAATAGGTTTTACCAGAAAAGACAAAAGTAGTTAATAGTCCTTCCATTCGATGCTTGCATTTATTCTGTTAGGAGTCGGCTTTCGCTTATGAAATTTTATATTTCAAGTATGATCTGCATCAAAATGTTGGTTCGAGTCATGTCATTTTTGCTCAATTACTTTTACGCTCAGCTTTTCTTACGATGTCGCTCAACATATTCTGTGGTTAAACAATGAAGACTAAGACAAACCGTATTGGAATGAGAAATGATTGATAGCAGTATACTATTATAATAATAATAACAGGATAAGAACTGAGAGCATTTAGATAATTAAAGAATTCAGAAATTATCTAAAATAAATATATAGAATGACATGCAATCGACTCGACTTATTTTATTATTAGAAAGAGATATCTGAATCTTAAACTCTCTCATAGTGTTTCTAACGACCATATGATGCGAATTTCATAACGTAACTAAACTCGCGACTGAATCAACAGTCTTTTTAGACAAAATATCATATTTATGGCATTAACGCGTCATTCTTTATCTCCAAATAATATTTCCGTAAATTTGTTATTTGTGAATTTTAAACTATCATTCTCTATTTTGAATTGAACTAAGAAAACCAAAGTTGAATGAATCATATCTTTGTTTTTATTTGCCGATCTACCTTTAACTAAGTACTAAAAAAAAATAACTAAAAAAATGAATTGATTATTCTCCTGAGATCGTATCCTATCAATAGAAATAGAACTTCTCTACACTCAAAATGATATCCTAAAATATAACTTTTCAGACATCACTTAAAGACAACTCACGGGTTATTTTTAATGAGTACAGGAAAAAACAACCTGCAAAAGGCATTTCTTTTGGCTTTTTATTTAAAAAATTTGAGCTGATGTCGACCATCTGTCTCTTCAAACAGTTTACTGATGAAAGGTGTCTCAAGATTGCTTAAAAAGAAGCAAACGTGTAATGCTATGTTTACTGTGCTATTTAACTTAAAAAAAGTGAATAGATATAGCCAATCGTATTTTTCCGAGAGAAGTTACTTTGAAGAAAAATTAGTATTTCTTTTCTTCTTTTCTATGCAATTAAATTTTGAATTCTGCAGATGTTATTTTTCAAAAGTTGGAAACATTTTTTTCAACACTTTATCTTCCCTATACCTTTCCTATTTTATTTAAGCTTATCAACTATTTTTAAATACTTTGTAGATAATTACACGAAATTTTTATTCATTCTAATTGATGTAAGAAGTAACCCCTCAAACTACCACCTTTGACTTAACCGATATACCTGCTGTTGGTAATATTGTTAAAACTGTTTTTATTTATGTAAATCGAAGCGCATTCCTTCATCATCCCTCATTTTAGATTTTAGAGTTTAAACAGGCTAATAGTCCATTTATGCTCCAACCATATGTGAGTTATGCATTCTTTCTGATGGTTTTTGTTTGAACATTTGAAAGTTATAGCTTT